ACCTAGAGTTGAGTTGAGCTGAGTACTTTCAAAATTATCATCGAACCACGCTTGAGAAGACGAGTACGCATTCAAGTAACATTTATACATTTCAGGTACTGACATATACACTAGCATTGATTGCTCGGCTTAATATGTGATCCATAACTTTTAAGAGCAATACCACATCCATGTTTATTTGGATTCATGAATTAATCCAACACTTCTACTAATTTTAGGTCATAAGGGTATTTTGGTCATTCTGGTACTCAATTTCATTCCATTCTTTTCAGAGCTCGAGGATATCCAATCATTCCTGAGCTTGGTAATATTCTTGAGTCTTTTTCATTACATGGGTATTCTGATCATTTTACAGATTTGGTGTATTTCAATCATTTCCTTCCATTATGTCTTATTATTTAATTCCAACTTATCATTTACTCAAGACCTTTCAAATAATTCTGACAAAAGAGCACCCTCGATAATTTATTCTTAACTCAGAGATTTTCAGGTCAATTGCCTTCTCAGAAGTTACCAACAAGTTATCAGAAATTTTCTGTACAAAGACATGATCTTAATAATTAAATCCGTAATTCATTAAGTTAAGTACAAATCCTCAAAGTACTTTCTCATTCAGGGTCAACTCGAGCTATTTTTATCTTTCAAGGGCATTTTCGTAATTTCTTAACCAGATGATTTCGGTATTAACTCTTAACGAGCATACTTATAATTTAGAGATCCTATGGTTAGTTGTTTCCTAGAACATTCTCTGATATTGAAATGATTCCTTAACAGACTTCTAGTATCTTGCATAAACCCTATTGGGTTAAAGACCGGTTATCCATAATTTCCAAGTAAAACTAACATTTCTTATGCACATCAATATTTTTATCAGATCAATATGTCTTTTCAGATTTATTAATCCACTTCTAGGGACAATTCTTGTCATTTTCCAATATAAGGGTAATTTCGTAATTTTACCCTACCGGAGTATTCTCATAATTTCTCATCCAAGTACCTTTAACATTTAACCTTTGATGATATAAAATATAATTTACAAATCGATGGCTGATTTCTTTATCACTAATCACAAACTTGTAATTTAATTCTAACAATCTTTCAATCTCTTATATTAATCATTCGATCCATATTCAGTTACCGAGTTTCTACCACATTTATATCGAGTGTATAAATTAATCAACTCCACAAAAGTGACCAATATTATCTTATTCATGCATTTACCAATATCAACATGTTCCATAAAGCATAAAGAGGTAGTAAAGTATTACCTCGATTTTCGTGTAATACTAATCGACCATATAAATTCCATTCGAATGCCCTTTATCTTGAAATCATCTTCCAATAATTCCTCAGATACATATCAACATAAATTATATAAAAAACGGAGCTTAATTGTGATAAACAGATCAAATCGGGTGATAAATCAGTGAAAAACAACTACTGGGTTCGAATTTGGCGAAACGGATTTCGGATTTGGATTCAAGACGTCGAAAGCATAAAATATGACTTTTCAAAAATTTGGCATTTTTGGTCAAAATCAAAGTCAACGGGTTTGACTGGCAATTTCGAGGCCTTTATGTCCGAATTTTGAAAAACGGACTGCGGAATCGGATTTGGAACGTCGAAAAACGTCAGGATAGGTATACTCAGTCAAAGTCAAAGGTCGTTTAATGCCCGGTCAAAGTTTTGGTCAACGCCGGTCAACGGTCAACAGTCGACCATTTTACACAAATATCACCCTAACAGAAATTAATTACTAAATTAGCCATATTCTGTAAATATTTACTAAACTAACACCCAAATTTTACACAAATGGCACCCAAACAGAAATTAATTACAAAATTAACACCCAGACGATGCCCACTCTCGGGGGTGGCGCGTGCGGTGCGTGAACAGTAACCCGGTGTCGAAAAATTCCCGAAAAAATTCCTAAAAATTATTTTAAGCGATTTTGAGGCACTTACAAAGCTCGGTTCACAATTTTGAACGACGGAGAGCTTGATTCCAAAACGTCGAAAACTTTGACGGTCTCACCCCTCCACGCGCCGGTGACGAAAGAGAAACGGAGAACACCGGTGTACTCAAAACAATGCAAGGAACACGATGGTGCGGGAGGTGTCGTAAACGGATGACCCGATCGTCGTGAATCGACGAAAAACCAACTGAAACCGAGTTATTGCCGACGATACTTCCGACTGAAATTAACGACGAACTGCAACGATTCACGACGAAAGGTTTGAGGTGTTTTGTTCCTCGGTCGACAACGAACACGATGATGGTCTCGATTTGTCGATCGGAGGTCGGACGACGAGTAGATCGGAGTTGAAAGTTGTTGACCGGGAGAGGAAATATGAACATATTTATGCATAAATACACGGGAAAATAGGGTTTATATTATCTCCTAAAGAAAAATGGTCAAATTATGAGTTTAACCACTGGATTTCTTGTATTTCTTAAAACAGTCTGTTAACTTTGAAATCTTACAATTTAATACTCAATTTTCTTCCAAATTACTAATTAAATTCACCAATTTATAATTTATTAAATTTAGCCCCTAAATTGGGGTGTTACAGTTTTTATACAAATGCCGCTATAGACTTTTACTTTAGTGGCGTTTATATACAAATGCCATTATAGACTCATACTTTAGTGACGTTTGTGTTTACAAACGCCGCAAATTTACAATTTTTAAGTCCCAACCCTTTAACCTTTTTCATTTTTTCCCCTTCGCCTATTTTTCAATCCTACTGTATACCCAAACCCATTTGCGAATATCCGAGAGTTGCAACAGCTTCTCCTGTCGTTTAGTGGCGTTTTGTTAAAACGCCGCACTTGACAAGATAGTTGTGGCGTTTGAAATTGAAAACACCGCAAAGTTTGAGTTTTTCTCTCCTAAAACCCCTAGCCCTTTTTCATCTTCTTTTCTTTCTGGTTTTCCTTTACTTCCTTTCTGCCGTTTACCCCAAACCCACAAATTATTTTCTGCAGATCTCAGTCCTTCTTTGACTGCTTCGTCGATCTCGCAAATTCCTTTTTTCAAATTTGTTGCTTCGCTGCTTTGCCCATTTGCTTCGTTGCTTCGCTGTTTCACTTTGTCGGACCTCAAACCCATCTGCTTCACTACCAAACCCCAAGAAGAGGGGTTGAAGGAGATCTGTAGACTGCTGGAGCAGTAGATTTCGCCATCTTCTTTGGCTGATAAATATCAGATTTGGCAACAGCTTCAGCACTACTCTCAGTTCCCAGACTTCAACAACTATCTCGTTTCATCCTAGCACGAGCCGAGGTTTGCTATCTCCATTTATTTCCACACCGACCAGCTTACATAAAATTTCTTTCCCGGTTGTTTTTCATTTTTCCCGAGGAACTGGATTATGGGTATTGATCAGGTTATATGTTAATGGAGGAGATACGATTACCGTTCTCATTTATTTTGGGGAATTTCTTTTTTATTGGATTTTGCTTCTATTCGATACTAGAATTGGGGTTTTGTAGGGTTAGTTACACTGTAATATAATTTGCAAAGATTATCCATTTCTTTGATGAAGTACATTCCGGGCATTTGATTGAATTACATGTTTAAAACTGAAAATACTATTTAAAACTAAATTTCCTCAGTTGGAGACGCAATATTTGAAAATGTTCCCCTTGGTTATATCAAATTAAGGTTGGGTAATCCTTAACTACCTGTATAGTGGGACATGAGGCAGTATTTAGATGCAAGTGACAGATATAGAAAACCTCCACAACGAGTGTTGCATGCAGATTTGAATAGTAGGCTTGTAGTCCATGGATAGAGTACAGATAAGAGCATAAGTTATGCAGAAACTGCATAAGCATTCATTTTTGTACTCATGGTATGTTATCTATGCGTTGGTAATCTAATGATTACAAACTGAACTGTATAATGGATTGATTAAGAGAGGACCTTTTAGCTGGCACCTGAAATATAATTCGGTGTAAAAGTGTGCCTTTACTATTTGTTATAGTTTCTTGCTAGCTTAAGTTCTCTGCTTTGTCTACCTAGGAATGACCACAACTACCCATCCAGATAGGTCTTGGTTATCCATATATTAGGTTAAGCAGAGTATATTTTTTTTCTCCTCACTGCTGGAATTTGTGTATGGTCATTAATATTTTTGCCAAACTTGACTTTAATCTTCCAATTTCTTCTGTTGCATTCAGGACTTGATGCTTTCCAAGCTGAGCAAGTAATGGAAACACTCCGCCTACTTGCACAAGATGGTCATACTGTAATTTGCTCAATACATCAACCTAGAGGTTCTGTGTATGACAAATTTGACGACATCGTGTTGCTAACAAAGGGCGCACTTGTTTATGCTTGTCCTGCACATGATCAGCCACTGGAATACTTCTCCATATTTGGGTTGTAATCAAACTTGGCTCCTGTTCCTTACGGAATGCACTGCCTGCCTGCATACCATGGTTCTTTATTTAGTTTTAATTTTTTTTATACGGATTGAGTGATTTTTGTTGACTGTGACTTGTGATTGGAAGGTGCGTGCCAAAACCTGGGACATGTAATACCTTTGATTTAAAAATATTTAACCTCTAAAAGGTTCATGGTTGGATTTAGGACGAAAATTATCCATCGAGTTTTCTTGCTAGGGATCCTGATTAGCATCGATATACTTGTACGCTGGATGAGGTTCTAATGTAAAACTAGCACTCGCATTATGCTTGAAATATAGCTGCATGTTTCCGCATCTGTCTTCTTAAAACTTGGTAGTACAGGGAAAAAGATAATATTGCTATAGCCTCATCATTTACCATTATATTGTTAATGTGTGATACTGATGCATTGCTTTGTATGTTATCTTGTGAACTCGCTATGTTTTTTCATTTTGTTTAGGAAAGCGGATGATCTACACATATTCTCCACACACATCATATATATATTATTGTTTCATTGATTTCATGTTTGAAACACTTTTGAGGATCATGAACTGGTTATTTTCGTCTGCTTTTCTTTGCTTTAATAAATAATTGAATGTTTTTCAAGCTCTGTTTCTAGATGAAATTATCTAACAACAATGTACTAGAATCTGAAATTATGAGACTTATGCTTGAATATTTAGTTAATCAACAGGTACAAGTGCCTAGATCATGTAAATCCTGCTGTATTTTTGGCTGATCTTATATCCATCGACTACAGTTCTGCTGATAGTGTCTACTCTTCTCAGAAAAGAAATGATGCTCTTGTTGAAGCATTCTCAACACAGTCATCAACAGTTCTTTATGCTACTTCACTTAGCTGAAAGGCCTATCAACATATTTTTTCCTCGGTTATTTAAGGTGAAATGCATCTTTGTATTTTTAAATTGTCAACATTTTAAAATTTTCTAGCTATATATGTTTTTCTATGAGCAGTTTTATCAGTCTCCCCATGCCTCTCTGAGAAAGCTATCATTGGGTTCTGTAAACCAATATATTTTTTTGATGCCTTCTGTAAGTTAACTTAGAAGTTTGGACATTTATATTCTTCTTGCGATGGATGTTATTCTGAATTTCTGATGCTTTCAGGGTAATACTTGAATTGTGCCTTAATTTCTTTCAGGCCTTATATACATGCATGGATAATTACCTTCATGGTTTGTTTGCCCTTGCTAATGACCCTGCAGCAGAAGTGCGGAAATTGGTGAATAGTTTCTGCTTCTCTTTTATTCTTATTGTATTGATAATCTAATATTTTCCATGGAATACTCCACTGTAAATATTTCCTAATTTTATTTATAATTTATTATTGAAGAGAAATAAAAGCTTGACATAAATTACTTATCATTTCTGATTTGAACATTTATTCCCATGGAAGATTAGAGTCTTAGATATTAATGGTTCTTTTTTTTCCTATCATGAGCCCTTTTGCGGCGTTTGTATCAAAAAACGCCGCTATAGATATGACATTTTTTGATGTTTTTCCAAAAATGCCGCTATAGATATCGACCTTTTGCGGCGTTTGTTCCAAAAACGCCGCTATAGATATTGACCTTTTGCGGCGCTTGTTCCAAAAATGTCGCTATAGATATCGACCTTTTGCGGCGTTTGTTAAAAAAACGTCGCGATGATCTTGACCTATTGCAGCATTTTTTGTTCTCAAACGTCGCTAACTTTAGCAGTGATGGTATGATCGACGCTACTTGCGATGTTTTTTCTATCGTCGTAAGTGTTTTTAGCGGCGCTTAAAAACGCCGCTATATGACTAAAAAAACGCCGCTAAAACTCTATTTTGCTGTAGTGAGCCAATAAGCACACCACCTTTATTGGTTCTTCTTTCTTGTTTTCATGAAGTTCTTCGAGCTTATTCCAAAGATCCTTGGAATTTGAACAAGAAAAAACTCGTTCATAGACATCAGGACCAAATGCACAAAACAACATGTGCATGACCTTAGCATTTTGTTGAGCTTTCTTCCGTTCTTGGGCACTCCACTCCTTCGTCTTCTTCTTTGGACAAGAGTAACCGTTCTCGGTCATCTCCCATGCATCAAGATCATTGGATTGGATGAATAGCTTCATTATTTCTTCCAATGATGGTAGTTAGCTCCATTGAAGTATGGAGGTTTGTCAATCGGTTGGGAGTCTTTCATGTGGAACGAGCCGGAGGTGGAAGTCATCTTCTCGGTTGTGCTGGAAATGGATAGAGCTTCTTCAAGGATCGTCTCAAGGTTGTTAGACCTTCTAATGAGTCAAACTCTGATACCAATTGTTGGGATTCGAATGAAGCTCAATTGGATAATCGAATAAATCACCAAGAGGGGTTGAAGTGGTTTTTAGAGAAATTTAGGGATTAAAGAGATTTAAGGATATGAAAATTGATGGACAAAGATTTATAATGGTTCAATTTTTCAACCAAAGTCTATATCCACTATCTTAGCTCCTCACCAAGGATTTACTAACAAATTCACTAATTTGTTCTTTCTTTTTACAGGATAAAGAGATAACCTTTACAAATCCCTAGTTTTACACTTAGCTAAACTAGAACCACTCCCCTTTTACAAAGGATAAAAAAATGTAAACAAGAAAACCTCACAAGGTAAATGTTTACAAAATTAAACTCACTAAACACTAATATTTACAAGAGAAAGAAAATAAAGAGTGAGAAAGATTTTCTCTTGTGTTTGATTGCTTGGATAGGTGTTAGTAACCTTCTTCAAGTGTCTTGAACTTGTATTTATATGTTGGAATGCGTTTGTTCCCGTTTCTAGCCGTTGGGGATGATTTGGAGCAGTTTGGGGGTTATTTTTCTACAAAATAAAATTGCACAGACAGGGAGTATCGGTACTCCTTTAATGAGTATTGATACTTCCTTTGTTATATTTAAATAAACTAACCTTTAAAGACTGTTGGGCTTGATCAATATCGATACTATGCTTATGGTATCAACTACTGTGTAAAGTAGTATCGGTACCTATTTTACATTATGGAATTTGAGCAATTTGGAAAACACTAGTAGTATCGATACTACCTAGAGAGTATTGATACTTCTCTTACCTTTGGTATCGGTACCACATGAATAGTATCAATATTGTTCATATAGCATTGATACTGTAAGAACGGTATCGGTATTACTTACCAGAAAATGTTTTGTGCTCAAATTATAGTTTAATGGACTTTGAATTTTTTTTGAAAATTTTGAATAAATTCAATTAAGTCAAAAAATATTTTACCATTATTTGTTATATCAAAATATTATAAAACATGTTTCAATAATTAGACTAGAGGCTACAGATTGATGATCGATTTCAGAAGTTGAAATATCTCTTGGAAGGGTTGAACAAAGCAAAAAGTTCAGAGATCACAGTTAAGTTTTCAAAGGGCATATTGGGGCACTCTCCTGACAATAGAACAAGCGGGGAGTCGGATGAGATTGCAAGGGGATATTCAGTTGAGTTGAGTAATATTGCTTGCAAGCTAAGATGTCTGCGTTTTGATAGAGATGATTTCCGAGATTGATGGTCTAAGTTGGAGCAATTTTTAGAAGCTGGATTAGTACCAAAAACGACACAAATTCGTTTAGTGATGTTGAATCTTGATGGGAAGGCTCTTGTTTGGCATCAGTTTGTGTTGAAACAACACGGTGGAGCAGATCGTCTGAGTTGAGCGTAATACGTGGAATTGTTGTGGGCGAGGTTTGTTCCCGAGGGATTCGAGGAACCCATAGATGAGTTTGTGAGTCTTCGATAAACTAGTTTAGTAGATCAATTTTATGAACAGTTTGTAAGTCTTTTGATTCAAATCCAAAATTCTGATGCTTATGCTTTGGGTATTTTTAAAAATGGCTTGAAAGAGGAGTTCCTTGTTTTGCCTTTCGTTGCCTCTCTCTTGTCCTCTTCTCTCTCATCTTATAAAACGAAAGAGTCTCCAACTTCCAAGAAGCTCTTAAATTCGAATCTAACTTCTAAGAGACTCTTAAATTCTCATCAATTCAAAAACTTCCAAGAAGCTAATAAATTACCCAATAACCTCTAAATCCCAAGCTCATAAATATCATAACTCCTCAATAATGAGATATCCTTATCTCTTAAAAATTGTCTATTCCCTTCACATGTGTGGGTTGGACGGGTTAGCAGGTGAGATTCACGATTGGGCTGGATAACACCATAAACTATCTTCATATTTTTGTCTTTTTTTGCTCCAAAAAAGTCATCCTACCTGCTGCGACATTTTTCTCATGCTCAGTCATCTCAAATTGCCTTGGCATTCCTCCATCTTCACCCTTTGCTTCATTGACCGCACATCACTAGCAAAGTGCGAACCTTCCCCATAAAATAGCACCATTTACACAATAATATGCCACGACAAAGCCAAACCACCAAATGTAATTATATGTTCCTATATGCATCTAAATGACCCTACATGAGCCTTAAGACAACCAATAACTTAAGCGAAAAGGCTATAAATATAACATTTTTACAGAGTTATCAGTAGTCCTAGCGTGTTTCTGTTAGACCGAAGACACATGGCATTCCATGCGACACATCTGGTGACTGGAGTCGTATTGTCCTCCCTGCATCTCCCATGTGACGCCCCGACTCCAATGCATCTTCGCACATTCCTATAGCATTCGCCCTGTATCGATAAATAATTTTAGGCATGTATTATTTTACGTTTTTTTTTTCAAATACAATATTTGAGCAATTTTGCCTTCGAAGTACATTAAAATTTGAAAATATTATGGGCGATAATTTTTTTTTAAAAATAGGGAAATTTGATAATTATTTTGTGATTTAGACTATTTGTTACACTGTACGTGGAACTCATCACGAGGGAATGACGAATTTAATAAAATATATTATAAAATAGAACTCGTTATATAAAATGAAAAAAATGTATACAATTTGTCACCCCGCACAAGTTCCAAATTCATCACCCTCTCGTGACAAATTCAACGTACATTATAACAAATAATCTAAATCTCAAAATAATTCTCAAACACTTATTTTTTAAATTTTTTCTTACCTAAATTATTTAGCTAAATAACCCTGCAGAAGTATTAAAAAATTCTAAAGAAAATAATCCATCAACTTACTCTTAGTTCGCATTAAGATTGTCTAACAGAAAAAAAATGCAAGAGGTTTGTCATCTATGATTTGAAATCAGAAAGCAACTTAAACATGAATGACAATTATGATTGATTCATTTAGAGGTGAGAAAAACTCGATTCGACTCAAAAAATTGATTTTTTCGACTTGACTAGACTCGAGAAAACTCGCCTAAAATTAACTTCGAGTTGTAATTTCATAAACTTGACTCGAAAAAATTTCAAGTTCAAGCCAAGTTGTAAAATACAACTTGAATAACTCAAAATATTTAGTAATTAGTAGATTGATTTTCAAGTTTGAGTTGAGTTCCTCGATTCTGTATCATAAATGTATATCAAATATGAAAAATATGAAAAAATACACATATATTGTATATGGTTATAAAAAAATCATTTAAATTAGAATTAAATAATATCATAATGTTATAAATATTTATAATTAAATTTAAACAAAAAAACTCAAAAATTTGACTCGAAAAAATTTAAAGTCAATTTCGAGTTATAAAATAGGTCTCGTCAACTTGAATAACTTGAAAATTTTTAATTCGACTCGATCTAACACTCATCCCTGAATTCATTGACTTTTATTGTAGCCATTATCTTTTCACTTCAAAAGTGGAACTTCACCATTAAGTCTTCTTAATATGGATTCATGGCGGTGGTATTCTGAGTAATTCCTTAAGTAAAATTATTTAAATATCTTCCACTCAATCTCCTTTCTTTATTGGGTGGAGACCCCATTCTTCAATTCTTTTAAAAATGAATATATGAGCGGCATGGAGTATGAACCGAATACATGAGAAGCATGAAGCTGAAGCTTGTGGTGGTAATTGGGGTTTTGATGATGGTGAGTTATAGCTGCATGGCAAGTCCCCGGAGAGCCATGCTCTGCAGAATATACGGCCAGGAACAACGGCATCATGTGGGGAAAGGAAAAGCTGTTGAAGCAAGGACGAGGAGCACAGGTGAGAAAAACATAGACAACCACCACAACATTCCTAGACAAAAGTACGATGATTGGGGCAACAATTCGCCGGACAGTGGTGGTGATAACGATGATGATGGAAGTGCATAGCACCAAGTGGCATGCGTGGTGTGTGAATATTGTTTGTATGTATTTAGTCCTATATGTATGTAAGAACTTGTTTTCATAGCTAGCTATAATGTTTCTCCTTGTATAAGCCTTGCATGCATGTATTGTTTTGAACTTTTATTTGTGAATTAAGCTTTGTGTTTTGTGTTTTCTGTCTTTGGCCATGGACGAACATATGGCCTCTTCACAATTAATGTTTGATTTGCAGTTATCGTACTTGTGGATCTATTAAGGTGATAAGTTTTGGGCATAATGCAAAAATTAATCCCAAGTATTTATTAACATAGTCACTTTTAACTCTTATTCTTTTTTTAATATTTTAATTTCAACATTTTAATTTTTGGTTAGAATGACCTTTCTAAGATGAAAAGATAACTAACGATCAATGTGTTTAATTATTGACATGACATATGTCACGTCATCATTTTGAGTGACATGATACATGTTTGATCATTATCTTAAGTGATGTGATACATGCCATATCATCACATTTAGTGATGTCATTATTTGGGTGACGTGGTATGTATCACATAATCAATTTTACACATAAAAATATCACGTCAGTAACATACGTTGACCGTTAGTTAATTAATGGTTTCCATCCGACAACAGTTGTTTTAAAAAAATAGAAACATTGAAGAGTAAAGGGCTCCAAAAAAATAGGGGCTAAAGTGATAGTTTTAATAAATGTTAGGGTTAATTCTTGTATTATACCTGGAAAAAAAAGACAGATAAAAGCTTTGGGCTGACAACGTTTGCGTATGGATTAAAGTTGGCTAATTCAAGAATTCGGCACAGCACGGGCGTTGGAAGGAAAAGTAAAATACACTTTAAGTTAGTCTCAACCTGCAACTAAGATTTTAAATAATGATTATACCTTATGGTGCAATATAAACCACTATCAATGTACATATTATATTATAACCTTTGTTGATTATGCTATTTATTGACGTGTAGAAAACCAGCAAATACTTGTTTTGCTAACATAAATTTTCACGATCGGTCCTTCATCGGAGCATCCCATGTAAATACTTGAGTTTGAAATTTTAATCTATTTTTTTGTCATTTGATGACGCGACATTCTAAGATTGTCACAAGCAATGTTATTAAAATCGGACCGATCAGTTCGAACGGTTGAACCGTAAACCGGTGGCATGTTCGGTCCGGTTAACTTCCAAAACCGGATGAGCACAGAACCGGTAAAGAACTAATAGAACCGGCAAAACTGGGGTGAACCGGTTGAAAATCGGTGTGAACCGCCGGTTTTCTTTTTTTCTTTAAAAAAAATTAAACCAAACGATGTCATTTGTTAAACAAGCCGAGTCGAACTCGAGTATTGCTGAGCTCGACTCGAACTCGAAAACTTTAAAAGTAAGCTCAACTTGACTCAAAAACTCACGAGTCAACTCGAACTTGAAATATAATATTGAAACTTGAACTCGAAAAGACTCGAACTCAAAAAAAATTTAGAAGCTCGATTGAAGTCTGAAATTCAAGCTCAATTGAAGCGAAAGAATAGTTGCTATGTGCTCACCAAAAGGCTCTATGATTTTGAATGTCAAATTACCTATAGTATTTATAGAAGTCAGTTGGGCTGGTCTTCTATGTTTCTTAGCCATGTGAGATTGTTTTGTTCTCATATTTTTACTTTTTAGACTTTTGGGATGCTCTTCTATGTTTCTTAGCCATATGAGATTGTTTTTTTTAAATTAAACCAAACAACATCATTTATTATTATTTTTTTCAGCCCCAAATTTATTTTTTGATTATAGTTATATAATTATATTTATTATTTAATATGTTTTACCTTAAATATTATGTTGTAGTTGATTTGAATCATTTTGTTTCACTTGATTTTATGTTTTTTAACTTATATATGTTATGACTTGTGATATTTTTATACCTTTTAATATTGTAAACTTAAAAAAAGTGTTGTATATATATTAATATTGCTTTGAATATTATGTAAAATTAAAAAAAAAATTATTTTATATAAAATCCGGTTGAATCCGATTAAACCATTGAACCAATGAACTAGTACCGTCACCGGTTCAATGTCCGGTCCGCTTTTAAAAACATTAGTCACAAGTGACATTATAACTCTTCACAAATGATTGGGACGAGCTTCGGGTCATTATGACGTGTTCGTTAAAACTCGATGTATTAGGAGATACACATACTTAGTGCGTTTCATATATATATATATATATGGGTCGAGTCTCTATTTTCATTTCTTATGGTATTTGACAAAATGGTAACATGAACTTTGTATACACTTATGATGCATGAAAAAAAGTTGATTGATATATTGTGTGCTAATTAGGGGTGTTTAAATCGATGTAGTCGGGTTTTTGGTACCCAAAGTTCCAGATACTCGGATCTTCAGGTATTTGATTGGTCGGCCCGTATTCCGATCTGGATATTGTGGGTATCTGTAATTTGGGTAATCAGGTATCCAACTTTTTATCATTTTCAAATTATTAATTTAAAAAAATACATAAATTTAAATGTTCAAATTAATACTCCAACATCCAAACATATAATTTAAAATTTCGAAATACAAAATCCAATAATCCATAATATAAAAAAAACATAAAAGGTAGTAGATATAATTTTTGAAGACACGACGATCATCAATTTATAAGTAAATTCATCGAGGATGTTATATGATTGTCCACAAAACAATCAGAGTTCTTCAAAAAAAAATTATTCCTTTTTTCCTCTTTTTTAATTTGTAAAATTTCAATAACGATTTAGACTGCAACCGGTTCACTTACTGGACTATGATTCGATGCAGCGGCTTTAACTTTGAATGTAACCGGGTACTCGGCTAATTGGTACCCAAAAAATTTTAATTTTGTGACCCGGATCCAACCCGGGAAATGTCGGGCCAGGTACTCAATCAAGAACTTAATTTTTTTTTAAAAAAAAATATCCGGATTTTTTTATAATATCGACAAGTCGAGTCATTCGGATTGGGTATTTTTGAACACCCCTATTGCTAGTATCTAGTATATTTTCACTTAATCACGTGTATTATGTTTATTTTGGAATAGTTTTAGCGCATTCACTGAACTTGTGAAGCTCAAACTCATATTCAATCGTGTTTTTGCATATAATAATTTATTGTTGAGGGTGAGAGGTGAAGGTGTGATGATTCCAAACGAGGCATAACAATCTACTAAGTAATAAAGTTTGCTTTTGAACTCTACGTAGTAATGAGGGCTTATATTGGTAATGTGATAATACTTTTGTAATTTTGTAAATATTTTGGACTTATTAGATGTTTGAATAATGAATGTAATACTCCAAAAATTTCAACAAGTGACTAAAATGTAAGTTTTAAAAGTTTTTGGCTAAAGTATAAAATTAAAAAATTTCAAGGACTTAAAAAGTAATTTTGAAAAAAAAATATATTTTGGTCCATAAATGGATACTTTACCTTAAAAGAAGTATCTCGTGTCATTTAGATTTTCGATCCGAAATTTGTAGAAAACGTATATTAAAAGATAAAATTTGATATATTATTCGAATAATCAGATCGAATCGTAAGCTTACAAAAATTTGAAGGAAGGTATATTTGGGTTGTAAAATTATATGAATATTTTTTAATTAGTGAAATTTAAGTTCAATTGGTGGAATTTGGTGCTATAAAGTAAAATAGTACAATTTAGTGGCTAAATTGAAATTTTGGAAAATTGGGGGTCAAAAAGAAAAAATTGATAGATGAGATTTTTATGATTATTTAATAATATTCAAATGGAGATGAAGGAGTGGAATGGGTGTAATATTGGAAATTCATTAAGGGTAATTTTGGTTTTTAGCCTAAAATGAATAAAAATACATTTTTTTATTATAATTTTAAGGAAAGTGGGAGATTTTTTTCCCAAGAAAACTCACGAATGTTTCCTTCCTTCTTCATCTACTGCCGAACTCCATAATAGGTTAGTGATTTTTATTTTTATTTTCACTTTTGATCCAATTTAATGTGTTTTGGGACTAAGATGCGAAATAAGAAAATTACCTACACTAAATTCTCTACAAATTGGTATAAGGATTGCTTTATTTTATGTTGAAATGTGAAAATGGGTATTTATGGTGGATGAAGGGGACGTTGATTTTTATTAAGGTTAAATTTGGATCTTAGGAGTATTGTGGAGTTATAATTAAGCATGAAAGTTGAATAAAAATTGGCCAGAAGGATGGGTTTAGTGATTCGGCTAGTGATGAATTTGTTAGGAACTTGGTTGAATTTGATTTGTTTTGTTTTGAATTTTATTAGAATGGATTGGAAATGGTGTGTTGAGGATTAAATTATGATTGAATCAAAATGGGAACCATTAGGGGATTTATTGCAAAGTTTCGGCCCAAGAATAAATTAAAGGAGAAATTTTGCAAAAATTTTCTAGTGGTCTAGATTAAGTGTAAGAATGATTTTAGATGCTTGAAATGATGTTTGGAACTAAATTGGAACTTTGTTTGACCTTGAGGGACCTTTTCACATGGTAGGCCAATTTAAAGGGGTAATGTGAACTTCTTGAGAAATTAATGTTGTATGCTGAAATTTAGTAATAGCACATTGAATTGGACTGATTTGGAAGAGTTTATAAGTTTAGTAATTCAATTGTAAATTGAAGGAAGTTTGGTGGTGAGATGGTGAAGTGGTTAGGGACATTTTACTAAGTCTGAAAAATTTAAAGGATTAGGATGCAATTTTTGGAAAGTTGGGATACAATGCTGGAAATTATATTTAGAATTTTAGAATATTGAATTTTGACCAATGTAGAAAGTTTCACAATATTAAAGAAGAGAAATTAGTTTCGAACATATATCACATGTTTTTTTAGGAAGTTGTGTGAATATACATGATTATTATATTAGTTAAAGTGCTAATGTATGTGAATTGTTTATATGTTGGAAATTGATGATAAAGTATTTCGTGATTATAATCGAGATCAAATTGAATTGGATATCAAGGTTACAAAGATAATCGTAAGATAAACTAGTGAGGCACCAAGCGAGTGCAACTTACTTTTTTTATTCGATATGAGGACGACTTGCGATGAGTCAACCTCGAAGGTTTTCAATTGAAAACAATTTGAATTATTTTATGAAATATCCTTATATTTTAAATGGTTTTTATATGATTTTGGGTATGAATCACCCAAATTGTTTTATTCGATATTTTATTTCCTAGCATGAGAATATTTTTGGGAATGAACTACCCAGATCTGGTTTATAAGAATTGTTTTATATTCAATTATATGGATGAATTATTTTAATATACAAATTAGTAATTGATTTAGAACAAAACCCATTGAATGAAAATAAGGGTTAGTGGTACAATGGCAAGCTATGAAGTGGAGTGAATCTGAATATGTTTATGATATGACACCAATGTAGATCACACATGGTCTGACTCGACGTACCTTAGTGGTACACGAGGTGGAGTGATTTGGTGCATTTGATTAAATTTATATGTGGATTATATGGCATTAAGATGGGTCACTCATGGTCTAACACGGGTGCCTTAGTGGTACACGAGGTGGAGTGACTCAGTGCAATCTGTTATGACAATAAATTTGTATATAGCACGCTCACTCGTTATCTGACTCGCGTACCTTGTATTCTTATGATAATATAGTGGGCAAATATCTGATATAAATAAGAAAAGTATGGATTTGAAACGATTATCTGATGCCATATAGAAAAATGCAGTTTTGCAATGATATAAACTGAAATAGAAAAGTATCTAAAATGGAACAGTACACTCTGAATTACATAATTTATAATAAATTCTTATTACGAGTTTGAAGTACCCTAATTTTGTCCGGGCTATTTAAATCCATATGAAGATGCTCGATGAGGACTTAATTCAAGTGACAAATTATGGGAGTTTGCATTTTGGAAGCTAGAGACGCTTAATTGGATTGATATCGTATATGTTTCGTTTTTGAAACCGAGGGATAATTTAAAAGTCAATCCAAAATCCAATTTAAGTGTAAAGTCCATTTACATCTTACAAGCCTAAACTAGACCCAAATAATTGCAACCCAATTACATCTAGAGCCCAATTACAAGTTCAAGACCAAGCCCCACGTGAAGCACCTCAATTAAGTGACCCAGCAAGTGCCCTGCTCCACGTCATAGCTGCCCACGTGAAACACCCAGCAGCCCACGTTCTGCTCCACGAGCACACTAACCGGGACTGTCGCCCATGTCCTGCTTGCTCCACTCACCAAGTGCCCACGCCCTGGCACCATACCATGGAGAACACCGAGAAGAATCAGAAGCCCGAGGCAGTGCGCATTTACCCTTCCAGCTCGACTCCCCAGCTCGTGCCCATGCTCCACTACAGCACCACGACCGAACAAGCCACACACGGCTCGATAACCTCCATGCTCTGCAACATCGAAATACCAACACTGATAAAAAGAAAGCAAACATTAACACAGGGGGAGGACCAAGCAAAAAATCAGCCATCGAAAAAGAAAGAAAAATCAGAAAACAGAGAGCACAGTGAACAGAACAACGGGGACGAACAGCAGGGGAGAGGGCTCTCGGTCAGAAAAATCCATCGAACAAAGGGGAGGGAGATCATTTTGTAACAGTTTACTCAATCAGCAAAATCATTGTAACAGCAGTCTTATTGACGATTGTATTCAAAAAACCGAGAAAGCAAAAGAAACATAATTCGGGTTTGAGGTATTCTCTTTTGGATTTGTTTCCGTTTTCTCATTTCCTTTGTGAATTAGTTTTGTTTTTAAAACTAAGTTAGATAGGAAATAAAATAAGGAGAGATCAAGCACGGTTACCTTAATCAATTGAGTCCCGTAGTGGCCGGAGTGAGGAGTGACACCAATATATGGTGGCCGACCGGGCGTTGGTGAGCAGTGGATACCCTGGATAGAGGCCATTCGGAGGTTTAGGGTATGTATGTAGTAAAAATAAAATAGAGGGAAGAGTGACTCATTTTACCTAAGCATGTGAGGGCTCCGCCGTGAGACGGATGGATCCTTTGAGTCTTAAGAGTTTTCTTTTCAAGCTTTACATTCCAGATCTGAGTTTGGTAAGGCTGTTGATGGTTGGTCGGTGATAAGAAAGGCCATGGGTAAGGGTTGTCGAGCTTCGAAGTGGCGGTGGCCATGGTTTTTGGCCCCCTGGTTTTGGCGATGAGAAAACCAGAGAAGAGAGTAGAGAAAGAAGAAGAGGTTGCGGCTGGGAGCATATCAAATGGGATGAGGGTTCAGCTTTTACCCGTAAATATAATATATATTAGGGTTTCAAAACGGCGTCGTTTAATAGATTTAGGGCACCCGTTTCACGCATGGGTTTTTCATCATATAGGCCATCTAAATTTTCTACTTTATTCGTTTTGGTCCTTAAATCGTTGTTTTCGTATTTCTATTTTTATATCCATGTTTTTCTCGTATTCAATTTTAGTCCAAATGGAGTGTATTTAGTTTCTATTTGTTATACATTTGACTTGTAGTTTCTGCACGTTCTGTTTTAGTCCTTGAACATAGTTGTTTTAAATTATTCTTTGTTTGTACATTTGTTATGCGGTTTTGTAAATCTCCATTTTGGTCCAGCATGTAATTGTGGATTTATTTCCTAGTTAGTAATGCATTTATTCGGTTTAGTTCGTTTTAATCCATGAATAGAGTACCTTATTATTTTTAATCTGATCTTCATAGTTTACGCGTGTTACATTTCAGTCCTGAGTTGTGTTGTTTTAAGCTTTTGTTACTTTGCATATGCATATCTTTTTCCGGTCTTCATTTTAGTCCTAGTGTCAGCTTCTTTAATGTTCTGTTGTTTAGACATTAGGATTCTACATTTTTGTATGTTACTTTTCTGGTCCTATGAATGTTCAAGGTTTATTATAATTTTGGTCCTTCATGATTTGTTTTATTCTGGTTTCATTGTTTACTATGTGTACTACTCATATGTTCATTTCAATTATTATTTTGTTTATATTTTAGATATTAAAGTTCGGTTCAATGTGATTTGGTTATTAGTGTAATATGTATAGTTTTTCTCATAGTTTGGTATGTTATGTTTTTATTTTTCGTATTTAAGTCCCATTAGTGTGTTACATATTAATATGTTAAGTAATGTTAGTGCATGTTAGTTTTTCATATATTATTTATTAGTTAGATAATTTTTAATATTGCATGTTAATAATCATGTGCATGATCCAACATCTTTACATAATCAGATTAAGGGTAATACTCTTTTAATTTAAAATTGTCGGAATGGCTTCTCTTAACTTACTAGAAAGTCGTTTTGACGATTTTAAATTAAAAATGTATCCCATCAGTGTCATCAAAAATTAATCCACCACTTTAAAATCTGGGAATGAAAGAAAAAAAAATATTCGGCTATTTAAATTATTTGAGAAAAGATCGTTAGAACTCACCTAAAGATCTGGTCTCGATATTTTTAAATAATCGAATATTCTTTATCTTTCTAATGGTTTGGTAATTTCAATTAAATCTATTTTGTTGCTTTGAATGTTGCAAATTTGCATTTTTGTTGTTTAAAGGGATCATTAATCAAATTAAACTTGAACTTGCGAAATTCGTTGCAAAGAAATTAATTAATCGACTAGGTACCGATTTAGGGCGTTGTGGGGGTGCTAATCCTTCCCCACGCGTAACCGACTCCTGAACTCGGATTTTGATAACGCATACCTTAATTTGTTGTTTTAATTAAAATTAATTTTTATTTAAAATGACAACGTTTTTGGGTGCCCAATCACACCCTAATCAAAGATTGGTGGTGACTCCTTGAACCATATGTTTTTATCGTAAAAAGATTTCCAAATTTTCGAAACGAGAGGTTTTCTAAAAATCACATTGTTTTTAATTAAAATTCAACCATAAATAGAATAATTAAAAATGACGTGTTTTTCAAAATCTCGCATCCCCACACGGGTTAAAAATCGTTTCGACAGAGTTGACAACTGATTTTTTTTTTGTTGAAAAATGGTTACTTTGTATTAGGATTAACAAAGTACACCACCCCAAGGACAATTGACAACTGATTTTATACACGTTTTATTTTATTAATGTTTGTATATGATACTGTATCTTTTATACGTTAAATATTTTATTTATTTTATTTTACTTGGTTGCCTCACTAAGTGAAAACTTAGCGTGTGAGTGTTTCACACGTAGGTGTAAGCTAGAAGGAAAGTAGGTGTGCATCAGCATCATTTTCGAGGAATCAGTTATGCTACTAGAATGAGTAAGTAAGGACATCCTATCTGTTAATTTTCTTGGTAGTGATATGTATATTAAAGAAGTTTTTAGCTACTTTGATTCGAGTCTGTTTAAGATATTTTTGTTTAAATTATGAAGAGTTGGATTTCCAAATGACATTATTAATTATGAATATTAGTTTATTGAATCATAATTATTTAGGATAGAAATGATTTTCAAATCAGACATTTTTTATTTAAGATATGATACAGTACATGACTGCCTAAAATACTGTCTGAATTGAATTCAAATTTTTATATTTGGTTATTAAATTATGATTTTGTGTGATTATTAGTTTTAAAATAAATAAATGCATTTTGAAATTTTAAATAAATATTTTTACTGGTTTTCAAATATTAAATGTTTCTTATGACTGATGTGACATATTTGAATCATATACAAGTATGTATATGGGTTAAGGGTGTTACAATTTTTGGTATCAGAACTATAGATTTAGTCGATTCTCAGCCTAAACAGAAGAGAAAAAGTGTTAAAAGTATATAGATATCACTAGGATGTATGAATCATTGATCTGGTGTGATTAAGTAATTCGATGAATAAGGCTGATTTTTTTAGGTGAGATAGTATATGAGTAAATTCCAATAGTGTGTTGATATAGTCAGAAATATTAGTGTTAGTGATATTATTTGATATTTCAGAAAGAAAGATCAGAATCGTTCTTAATTTGAATAAACTAGAGGAAACTCTAGTTTACACGTCTAGAAAGGTTAGTGTTGTATAAAATTTTCTTCATGTTGCAAAAAAAAATAATGTTATGCTAACAGGTGAAGAGTAAATTGAGACGAGATCACAGTTCACTCAATTGGAAAACAAGGATATCAATTTAGAGAAATGTTTGATTAGAATTGATTTTGGAATATAGAGTGACGATTAAACGTTTTAGGGTCGAAAAGGCAAGGATAAGTAGTGTATAAGTCGTTATTGAGGATTTGGAATAATTTTGGTTCCAGAGTAGATATTTTTGTTGTTAGGCTCTAATAGATGGTTGTTTAAAGTTAATGTTTCAGAAAGGTTGAGAAAGATTTCGAGATTATGATAATTGAGAAAAAAGTGTCGAGATAAAGAAAGATTTTATGGGAAAACAATCATGATCGCTAAAACGATTCATCTCCACGATTAGAATGCAAAAAAGAATTGTATCGATAAAAATCTCTTAATAAGGATTGACAAGCTTCGTAATTAAAAGTATAGTAGTTTTTTAATTTAATTTTTGATTGGATATCACAATTCAATGCGATTAATGTGAGTTTGACAAAATCTTTTTCAAGTCAAACTAGATTTTTGTTAATATTTATGTGTTCGGGAATCGAATTCCCAATCGTACGCTAAAGTCAACGATAATTATATTTTCTTAATGATATTTTGATTTAATTAAGATAAAAGGATACGAAGTAGAATTTCGAATAATGGTTTGAACTTTCCGAAAGGAAATAAAGGTAGAACAGTATAAAGTATAGTATATGTACGGGCCATAATTGAGTAGAATTTTGAAAAGTTGTTCTGAATTCAAAATCTTTTTGAATTCGTTGATTATTCGAAAGATTCATAAAGAAAATCTCGATGACTCCCTCCCCACTAAGTTATTAGGAAAGGACACAATATTTATTTGAATTGATAAGAAACAAGGAAATGAAAGGTATGGAATAGTAAGATCAATTGGAAATTGATAGTTGGAAGGTAAGTTGGAGAAGTCATTATAGATTTTATAGAGGATATTTCAAGATGATTATCATGTGGTGAAATAGACAAATCAACTCAATTTCATTTGAAGTAAGAGAAAATTTATCTGGAAATGTGTATGAGGAGATAGGAAAAAAGTTTAATTGATAATAAGTGAGTAATTGGAACAACAAGTTTTGCTTAAAGTAAATTTTGTAAATTGGATTGGAAAATCTGTTAGAAATTGTACAAGTTGAATTGGAAGAAGTATTTTATATGGTTAGATACGTATTTGAATCCAGTTTCTGATGGATAAAGTGGAGAAATTGTAAATATAAAGAATAATACAAAATATTATTTTTGTAAGTAGCATAGACTTTCAAAGTCAGAAAGGTGCAGTAAATTTTGCAATCAGTAAGGATTACAAGTATTATGAAGGCGCCTCTCGTACTAGCATGAGAAGGGTATTGGTGTAGGAAGAAAAGGAAATGACCTATGTTACAAGGAAGCTTTCAATTTAAGAAGGAAACACGACAATACATTAATGCCAACGGTTCTAACGGAACTGCACAACATAATGCTTCCACCTCACGAGTCAACCTTCACAAGGCATCTCTCAACACAGTCTTACACTGTTTAGCCTATATTCTCGTTCGAGTGCCTTCCTATCTGTCTTTGTCCACATTCAAAATTACCCTTTCTCTGTACAAAAACACCAATAGTAGTTGTACTACTCCTGCTGAATTACAGCCATGTTAAAAAAAATAATAATCTATCCTCCCAGTTCCTGACAGGCACAGCTAGTGGGTTGCAGAGATTGCAGATGGTACAATAGATATCCATATTATAAATATCACAACCAAGTTCATCCCTTCTATAGTTTTTTACTGCTTCTGTTTCTAGTACCATGGTTGCCCGTGTCATAAAAAACAACAGTTGGCACATCTGAAGCTCAGTGGTTCACATGGCAGGCAAAGAAAAGGACACAAGATTCATTCATAACAAGCCGGCCTCCTCAGCCTGTGAGCCTTGCAGATCCTTTGGCGAGAAATGCAATCATTTGGTCAAGAAGCAGCGAGCCAAATTCTACATCCTCCGGCGTTGCATTGCGATGCTCGTTTGCGGCCGTGACCGAGGCGAGCCTTAGGGAAAAAGGCCTTGCTTTTGTGGCTTGTATAGTAGTTTAAAAGGAATAACTTTTCATTTCATATAAGTTACTAGAGTATTAAGTATAAGAAAATTTATTTAGTGCTGCAAATAAAATTATGGATCTATGTTCAGAC